ATTCTGCCTTGGAGGTGGAAGCTAATAAATGCAACAGAACTGTATCTGTACTGTCTCATGGAGTTCTTTGGGCTGAACCTGACAATATGGTCATGTAACAATATATTGCCAACATTTAAAAGTGAACATGTCTATAATACAATGTATGATTGAATCATGTTGGTCTATGGATGAATAATAACATTAGGTTAAAAAATGAGTTTTAAAGTTACCGAATGTATTAATTCTTATAACATCTGTTCAAATAAACCACTTTTTTCAGATGTTCTACACCAATGTTTCTCAACCTTGACAACCCTTGTGGACTTCAACTCTGGCTGGGGAATTCTGGAAGTTGAAGTCCACACATTTTCAAGTTGCTAAGACTGAGAAACACTGGTCTATTGGTTAAGGTGCTGGTCTTAGAGGGGGGAAATTCCAGTTATAGTCCTGCCTTAGACCCAAAAGCCAACCAGGAGACTTTGGGTCAGTAACTCGCTCTAGGCAGAAGAGAATGACAAGCCACTTCTGAAAATCTTGCCAAGAAAACTGTATGGGCTTGTCCGTGTAGTTGCCAGGAGTCAAGAATGACTTCAAGGCACACACATGCACAAATCCTGCCTATACATCGTTAACTCCAGGGGTAATTACTACTGGTTAAGACTGTACATCTTAGCAGCCTCTCTTTGTCTGTAACACATGAAAGGAAATGCTATCAAGTTAATTATAAGTGCTTTTTTCTTAGTGACAGAATGCTAATGCTGAATTAGAATATTTGCTTATAGAATAAGTCAGGTGGATTTTCCTTTGCTAAATCTGCTAAAAGCTGTGATACGAAAGAGAAATTACTTACACAGTGAAGCATCTTGAGGCTCATAAGCATAGAGGCGGTTGGAATATCTTCCAGTAATATCTGCTCTAACTGTCAGTGAAGGATCTAGAGACAGGGAAAAGTGGAAAAGGTAATTTTATGCTAGTAATTATATAGGAAGCCTAAAGTTAAAAAAAAAACCTTCTGTTCTTCTTGTGTCCAATATTCTTCGACAGAAAAAAATTACATCCAGTGGTACAGCTCCTGCCAGACCTCTGAAGCCAAGTATAGGGCACAAATTGTGTCTCAAACTATAGGTTCCCCATGTTTATCCCAATTAAAAAATGAGAAAATGTAAATTATAAGTGTTAAAGAGAGACTACCACCTGAAATGTAACCCTTAAATGCTTTCTTAAAATTACTGTCCTTAACATACATTTAAAACAGTTGAGCTTGGCTTCAGAATCCATTTCATGCTAATCAGAAGTAGGTAAACTGACTCTGCATGATATATTTAGCCTAGGAAAACAATGAACTGTGGTTAAAGGTGAAGGTAGACAGGGAAAAGATGGCAGTGCAGACATTTCAATTATTGAGCCTGGTTGCCTTAGCGCATTGTGAAAACCAGGCCTACATATTATCAATGATACTACCATTACCATAGGATAACATCTGAATTTTGTAACAGTGATGTCTAAATATTTTTGAATATGCTTTCATGTGAATAGTTATAAGAAATGAAAACTTTCCCCAGTGCAGCTTCTCCATTTTGATCCCCAAACTCTGCCCACAAAGGAGACATCTCTTCCCATCCTTGCATTAAAATTTCCCTCAAAATAATTAACATGAGTTTGGACATTCTGCAAACAGCCTATACAGCAGGCCATTCATATTTCTCCTATCCTCCTCTAATATACCCAGTGAGAGGTATATTATGAATTAGTACATACTGAGGAGTATGAAAAACTGATCTCAGAACATTCAGATGATACAAGGTAGGGAAAAGACTTTGCAAATGATACCACATGTATGTGGTTGTTCTTTCTAGTTTTTCCACATTCATACTGAATAGTGAACAAAACTTGTTTGCACAAAGAATATTTGTTGAGACTGTTTTTATCATCTTGATACCAGTTTTTCAAGTTAATATTTTCAACTCCTAAAGCACTCACCTACAAACAGAATTCTGGGCACGTATTGACCATCTGGTGCAAGATGTTTGTCTGTAGTTTCATACTAGAATTAGAAAAAGAAGAATATTGATATTCCTATCTACCATTTAAGCTACAGTCTCCCTTTTTCTTTCTCATGCAATTACAACAAACCCAAATTCAGCTCAATATAGTTAAAGGTTTAGTGGAGAAGGACTAGGCCACAACTATTCCAACGTTTCACATTTCACATAATTCACAATTAGAATTATAATTGCAAGCTGTTCAAGATAGAGCAGCTTTGCCCAGTTTGATGCTGTGGACAAATCTCCATATTCCTCAAACAACATTGTTGACTTCAGCTACCCTAATCCTCCAGCCAATATAACTGACAGCAACAACTGGAGGGCGCTGCTGGGAAAAAACTGAGACTCACACACCACATTTTGTTCACAATACTTTTCCTAAATGTGTATTCATGTAAATAACAATATTACTGAAAATACATATTGTGAACTATTATAAGATTACCAATTGTTAATGTGCTCTATGAATTGAATTCTCAGCTCAGGAAATCAAGACAAATTATGTGCTTGCAAATTTTAATAAAGTAATAGTTTCCATCTTCTCAAATTATTTGCATGTCATGTTCATTTTGGAAAAATGACTTGTGTAAAATAGATAACATAGCATTAGGTAAGTATCTAGATAAGTAATAATTCAAACATCATCTGAAAACTTACAACAAGATTGAGAAGAATAAACTTCTCTGCCAATTTCTGTATATCTTTGTGTTCAGCAAATACCTTCTTCAGTGCTAAAATAGAATAACAGTTAGAAATGCTATTGAATACAAAAGAAACAAATGTCATATAATTTGATGTAAACCGCCCAGAGTCCCCCATTGTGGGGAGATGGTGGGGACAAGTCTACTAAATCAATCAATCAATCAATCAATCAATCAATCTACAAGTCAAGCCAAACTTGTAACCTGTGTTAATGTCTATTATATCTCAATGTATAATGAAAGAGTAATACTATAGAGGAGAGCCAGTTTGCAATAGTGGTTAAGGCACCAGGCTAGAAACCAGGAGACTGAGAGTTCTGGTCCTGCCTTGGGCACAAAGTCAGTTGGATAATCTTGGGCCAGTCACTCTCTTTCAGACCGAGGAAGGAGGCAGTGGCAAACTACTTCTGAAACCTTGCCCAGAAACCTGCAAGGACTCATCCAGGCAGTCATCAGGATTCAAAAACGGATTTAAAGGGACACACACACAATACTATAGAAATTAAGCATTAAAAATTATTTTAAGAAAAAATACTTAAACCTATCATGATAATTGTCTTTAGATTTTAAAACTTGGATTTCTTCCTTTTTTTTTTTTTTTTTAATATGAGCAGGTTTAATACTGTTCTTCACAAATCATGAGACTTCATTTCTAATGATGATCATTTGTTAAAACAAAAATGGCTACTCTAAAAACTTTTATTCAAATTAGTTATATCTTACATCTTTTACTTGCAAAGTTGAAACAGGTTGCTTTTTCAGGTGATTTTTAAAAACAACTGATGGGAGGAAGTTAATTTCCTTAGATGGAATGAAAACTTCATTTGTTAGAAACAACAGTACCTTGACTATGAGGGCAATCTTCTAAGTGGTGGATGATCATTATAGGCTTGTTGCTGAAAAAGAAAAAGTGCTCCATGATAGAACTTCAGTTAACTAACTTCTCCAAACTAAGCTCCTCCTATTGCATTGGCGTACAGTTCCCATCACTGTGGACAGCACAGTCAATGGATTATGTTGACTGCGAGTGACGAGAATTAGAACCAATGTATCTGGAAGGCATCAGGTTGGGAAAGATTTCAGCCGACTATAGAGAAAGTAAAACTCAAGACAGGCATTGAGTAAAGGCTTAGGTTTTATCTAACATAGTACTGAAATAAATTTCCCCTAAATTTCTTCTCCTGCAAAAGATGTTTCTGCATTTTTCTCTCATTCCCAGAATGCTTTAGAATTTATTTAGCGTTTCTTTTGGTGTGAGTTGACTTTACTGCTGCAAGAAGCAGTAAGTTCTACAGTGCTCCTTAATCACTTCTATTACTGTGATGCCTGTTTCCTGTTGCTTCCTGATCCAAAGAAGCTCTACAAGAGGAATTTCCTCATGTTGTAATCTTCTTGGATTTAAATAGATGTGGGAAGTCAGGAAAGCTGAAGACTGCTGTAGTGGTGATTGTCAGGAAGGAAGGAAGGAAGGAAGGAAGGAAGGAAGGAAGGAAGGAAGGAAGGAAGGAAGGAAGGAAGGAAGGAAGGTAGGTAGGTAGGTAGGTCAGGGCAAGAGCCCTGTAACCCACCCATAAGAATTTTCCTAAATTGTTATCCTTCCAGGAAAAAAAATGAAAGGAAGTTCTTTTGCTTTTTAAAATTGAAAGAGAGTGAGCAGAGGAGTGACACGATGATAATGCACAGTAGTGTTAGTTATAATATACTGGGAAAAGACTGAAAAATGTTGTCAGTGTCTCACAGTAGAAGTCAAATAATTTTTCATAAGACAACGAGAAGCACTTGGAGATGTAACTTACCTTGTCTTGGATTTGAAAAGAGCTTCTTCATAAGTCTGAGTCCAGATTAGTTGATCACCCCAGCCTGAAGGCAAATGACCAATGGCATTTATTTTAAATATGTCATTGTTGAGAAAGTCTTAAATGCATAACTTCACTCAAATCTGAACAAAGACTAAAGGATCCCCTATTAGATCTATTACATAATGCAGTTCTTAGCCCAAGTCTTCGGCCATGTTTTTAGGGAAATATTTTTGATGATAAAGGTTAACCTCAAGCATGTCTTTGAATTCATTCATTAATGTGAACCAAAGGCACATAAACATAGAGTGAATTTTTGGATAATTAGCTTCTAATAATTACAATTTGTTAAACTGTTAAGCCCACCAAGAGTGATACATGGTTAATAGTTCGGTTCCTTCTTTTTTTTTAAAGGACATTTCTTGAATGCTGTTTATGCAATACCTACTTTTCTTTGGCATTCCCCTAGGACAGTGTTTCTCAACCTTGGCAACTCTAAGACTTAAAGCCTGGGGAAATCTGGGAGTTGAAGTCCACACATCTTAAAGTTACCAAGATTGAGAAACACTGCCCTAGAATTACATGCTCCAGTTCACATCAGGTCTAGCCAACAAAGCAAATAGCCAGTTATTCAATTAACTCAATGGAACTTAATGGAACTTACTTCTAAATAAATATGTATAAGTATAAATAAATATCTATGTATAAGGATGTATATATAAATTCCTGAGTCATCAGATCCTTGGAATAGCTTTATTCCCATTTTCCATTTTCCATGCTGAGACAGAAGATACTTTCCATGTTGTAGATCACTGTTTCTCAACCTCAGCAACTTCAAGATGTATGGACATCAGACAGGCAAGGGAATTCTTGGAGCTGAAGTCCACACATTTTAAAGTTGCTCAGGTTAAGAAACACTGTTGTAGACTACTGTCTGATCAAACATTTGTCATGCATGCTGAGTTTTTTAACTAATATTAAAATTACATAATATCCTTTCCATTGAAAATTACATGAAAGAAAGTTATCACATCTTACTATGGCAAATAAATAAGTAAGTAAGTAAGTAAGTAAGCAAGTAAGCCAGAAATCACTTTTTAAAAATAAGCAGGCCTGATTAAAAATTGAATGGTGATCAGTATAAAATACACAGCTTCCCACCAAGTTCAGCTATTGTGGCTTTACCTCTTGACAGAGTCTGTGGAAGTTTAGGGTGTTTCTCCTTGGCTTCTTTTGGGTCTTTTCTTCCATCTTTAGTAGTAGTTTCCTTAGCCAGAGTATGCAAGACAGCAAGAACCAAAATCAGGATGGATGCTAAGTTTTTCTTCATCATTAAAGCTAAGGGGAGAAAAAAGCATTAGGTTTATTTGTCCAATGGAACAAAATACTAGAGGTAAGGAACAATAGTAGCAAAACATAAGAAAGAAAAGGTGCTTTAAATCTCATGGACTGGTATAGAATTCCTCTATTTCAAGAAGAACTGAATACCAAGGCAAACTTAGAACACAATCCTATGCATGTTTCTTTGAAGCTGAGCACTACTGAACTTAATGGGACTTCCTTCCAAGGAAGGTGGTTGTTGGGGTTTTTTTTTTTGGTACCTTCAAGTCAGTTTTTGACTCCTGGCGACTGCCTTGACTAATCCCTTGTAGTTTTCTTGGCAAGATAAGTGGTTTGCCATTTCCTTCTTCCTAGGACTGAGAGAGAGTGACTAGCCCAAGGTCACCCAGCTGGCTTTGTGTCTAAAGTGGGATTAGAACTCACCATCTCCTGGTTTCTAGCCTGGTGCCTTAACCACTACACCAAACTGGCTCTTATGGTAGTCTTAGACTAGAATAATATCTGTAGGCTAAACCAGCCTTCACCAGTTTGGATCTTCTAGATCACACTTTACATTGTATTATAAATCAGTTAGCTTGTGGCAGCTTAGCATGTTAAATGAACCCAGGAATTATGGTTATGATTTAGGTGTGATGCCTAAACCCAGTCAATTTTACTTTATTCAGCCAACCAGTGGTAAACAATGGCTTTGTGTGATATAGTGTGATCCCAACACACAGTTCTAGATAAAGATGCAAAGCAATGTTTTGTTAAAATACTTTCATATGCTCTCAACATTCCTTGAGATATTTTTATGACAGTTGATGCACAGGAGAGTGCTTAAGAAGAAGCACTGATTTCAACAAAAGTGCCAATTAATTTACATTCATATGACAAAGCAGGTTTGAGGGCCACACCCAGTTTCGTGCAGCATATCAAAGACCTCTCTCAAATAAAAGGCCAAAGCAAGATCTACTGCAGATGTGCAAGGCTTAAAGAATATTTTCTGTTCCTTAAAATCCTCCCAAACTTTTTTCTTTAAAAAGGACACCCCCAAAGGCTGTTTTTTTTGGTCCTGCCTATGGGGGGAGTAGAGTTTGAGTGCTGCAAAAGAGTTACTGGTGAGTTGTACTTTTGATCTATAGATTGGATTCATACATCATTCTAAACTACAGTTTGCTTAATCATTTATTAAAAGCACAATTGGCTGAGTTCACTGATTACACTAAGCTAAAAGCAAACCACACTATGGCTTAGTATGATATACAGAGCTACAATATCTGAGCTGCAAAAATCTGAATAACCATTAGAAAGCAGCAACCAGGTATAGGAAAAACCAGATATTTACAGTCTAAATAAATATACTTTGACATAATCAGTTGAGATTATGTAGAACAGCTTGCATACACTTCCAGTATGAACATAAAAGCTGGTTCTTTTAACTCAATGTGTTCCTATTGCAGAATCTACAGTATTATTCCTTAAAGGTTTTAAAGGAAGATATGTTATGTAAAATGAATGAAAATCCTTTAAAAGATATTTGCACTGGAATAAGCACTGTGAAGGAACAAACTGCTTCTCCAAGTGGTAATAGCAGGGACAGGTTTCAAGGATTAATTTCCTAGAGCCCTTTTCTCTTGCTTTTTTCCAGCAACTCTTTGTTGCTGAATTGACTGGTAGTTGAAGGTAATGTAAAACACAGTAAGAATGCAATATTTTATGCTTATTTTTCAGGGAATTACATCCATCAATACAACAGCACTTACATCAGAGTAAACATTTAAGATTGGCTGCACTGATCCATGTGCACATGAGTGTGGCCTTGCATTTAGTATGTTGATCTAAACTGGTCTTTTCTTAAACCTGGTTCCCCCAAACACATTATATGCCAGCTCCCCAACTCTCAGGCAACTGTTTGCCGTTTGTTAGCAGAATAAATCCAATACTTCTATAAGGCCTCAGGTTGAGAAAGACTGATTTTTATGATTAACTTATATAGGTTTACCCTGAACTGTTTTCAGGAAGATGTACTCCATTTTAATCTAATTACATAACTGGCCAACTGAAAATATTGATTAAAAATAACATACACAAAAGTTGTTGAACTTTGATGCTAAAAAGAGAGTAAGTTCAGCATCTCTCACCCTTTAGATTGGCACACCAATTTATAGGTCATTGGGAATATATTTGTCTAGTTTGCTTTTACCAAATTTAGTTCAAGACTAATTTTTTTGAATATTCAAAAGGTCACTAAGCACCACTGTTAAAAATAAAGCAGAGCTGGTATGATTGGGATATTATATATATCACTGTCAAAATAAGAAACTTGGGTATTTAATATTTCTACTATTTAATATTCTTCTCATCAGTATTTCTACCACCACTCAGGAACACTGATAACACAATGCTATTTCTGATCCTTTTGTACTTAGCACATTGGGATGGATATAAACTTGGTCCTGCTCAGAATAAACTCATGAAAATCAGTAGGTCCTTAGCTAATCACAAACTGTCCTATTGATTTTGAGATACATACTATAGTCCAATACCTTGAATTATCAGCTGGCTGAAGAATATGGGGATTCGAAATCTACACATCTAGAAGGTTGCCTTAGACCTACTGTAGCCATGATTACATCTAGATTCACTAACTTGTAAGTAGATTTAATTGCAATACAGAAGGATTGGTTCCAAATCAATTTGGGATCATCATCATTACTTTAGGAGACAAAACTGCTGCAAAGAGTAGATTTGAATAAGCGTGCATTGGTTATTCTTTGAATAAGCATGCATTGGACTAAACTTTTAATGAGATAACTATGGTAATATATATATATATCAGGAAAATCAAAGTGGAGATGGTTGGAAGGAAGAATAAGATAAACGTAGGCTGCAAGTCTACTGTGTCTAATTTTTGAAGCCAGAGGAGAATTAAAGTAGTGTGTGTGCCTACCTGAATATGCATGCCTACCTGAGTGTTTTGGAGTGTGCCACAGTGACAATTTGCATAAGGTAGCCCCATCCTCCCTAGCCAGCATGGCCTATGGGTATGCTGGATGGATGGTAGGAGTTGAAATCCAGCACATTTAGAGAGCAGTAGATTGGAGTTTGAAGAAAGTGGTAAACAAATATGAATGGAAAGAAAATGGAGAGAGGCTGTAGAGAGAAAAATCCTCTTTTCCTCCAAGCTTTCTCAGAAACATGAAAAGAGATAGACCTTCCATTTTATATAACACAGAAGCTGTATCCTTTCAAAAGGAAGTGCAGCCTTAAAAGATATTAAATGGATTTGCCCTTGCCAAGCAGGAAATCAAAGCACAATGAATCAGGGCCGCTGGCAGGCTTGAAGCAGAAAGCAAACAACTGAAAATCTTGCATCTTGGCTATAAAATATGTTGTATGCTTGTAAAGCTCTATTCTGTTTAAAAAATGGATTTTTAAATATTTTTTGTCAAAAAGCATGTTAGGATTATCTAGAGCAAAGATCCATAGAGCACTTCTACTGCAATTCATCTCTGCTCTGCTTGTTACTCCTGCTTATTAATAAGTAACCTGACTCGTAAGCAGCGATAGCCTTACCTTTTCTGCCCTCTCTCTTCTAAGAGCAACTTCTGAAGAGCTCTCAATTTCAGTGTGAACAAGAAAGGTGTGGAATGCCTATTTATACACCTGGGTGCACCTGATCCCACCCACAAGGTTGGTATTTGAATCCTGCTGTTATAAGAAAAAGTTGGAAAAAAAAGTAGAAAAGTATTAGCAAGGCATTTTTCAAACAATGTTACACCATTCTGTGCTTCAGTTTATTTAATAATTATGATAGAAAACTAGAATGTTTGAGTTTATGTGAGTCGTCCAGGAAACATACTTGGCAACATGTCAAATCCAAGTACAGTAAATATAAATGGAGACTTCCAATTTGCCCAAAGGCTGATTTGTCTCTATGTGATTGGAGCAGCCTTGATGCTACGGCATAGGCCTATCATTTTTTTGAGAATATGAAGTTGATTATTTGATTACCTTTCAGGTGCAAACCAGAAAGGCCATTAATCTCTGTATGTTATTGTAATTATATATATAAAAAAGCAACTTCCAAATCAAAGTAGAATATGATAATCACACTTTTTAGGTATTTTTAAATTGTTGCCATGTTTTGAAATCATGTTTAAAATAATGTTATTTATTTATGTATTTAACATATTTATATGGCTTCCCAGAGTGCTTTCGTAGATGGGTAGTTGTATACTGGTAGATATGTTAAATAAATTAAATATTAATTCCATAGACTTTTTAATTCCTCAAGCTTCTGCTTTCACTACAGTTCAGGACATTGCCTGGAATAAGGGTTGTTCCATAGCTAGAGAGCCAGTTTAGGCTAGTTCAGGTGGTTCAGGTGCTGGCCTATAAACCAGGAGACTCTCTTCTAGGCCTCCCTTAGGCATGAAAGGTGGCTGGGTGGCTTTGGGCCAGTCCCTCTCTCTCAGCCCAACTCACCTCACAGGGTTGTGTTGTGGGGAAAATAGGAGAAGGAAGGAGTATTAGGTAAGTTTGCTGCCTTGAGTTATACATAAAAAGGTGGGATAAAAATCTAATAATAATTATAACTAAAAGATGCTGAACTGAATAGTTTTCAAAGAGATGTTCTAGATTAAGGATGAGAATCGGCAACATGGTGAGGAGTCATTGTATATATGCCATTACAAACATGCAATCTATTTATGCAAAGGTTTAAGTGAGCTTTATTATCTGAATTTGAGCCTTGGAGGGAATCCAAGCCTGGGCAGATTGTGGAATATCTACCTTAGATTGATTAGCAGGATGAAATGATGAATTATTGTTTTTGACAAGTTGCAATGTTAAGTATCATTTGCCCCAAAGTGCCAAGTAATATCAGCCATTAAAACATCTTTGGATATCTAAAAAAGGGTCAGCAGCTTTAAGTATTTCAGACTCCTAGTACCAGAAAATATACCTTTTTTTTCAAAATAAGCCCATAATAATTGTTTATAAATATTCATTAGAATACATTAAGTTAGATATTCAAGTGTACAGAGTGGCATAGAATAAATGAAGTATTCTATACAGGTGTATCACTACAAGACCATTTTGGCATTTATTTTTCATGCTTATATAGATTTTAAATTACTGTTAAATTCATGTTTATTGGACATTGGATGTAGGCATTTTTTCAGGAAGAAATTGGTGGGTTAAGCTAATTACTAGAGATGGGGCACTCAAAATGCAGCATTAATTCATATGGTGTGATCATGTCTATAATTGTTCCCTTTTCAACAGAAGCCATTTCACATAATGCATTTTATTCTGGAAGATTTAATAGTTTTCATAGATGTTCATGCTGTTCTGAATGTCAATAGTTTGGAATTAACAGGAGAACAATGGAATAAATATTCATAATGGATGGATGGATGGTTAGATGTTAATAAAATCAAATGTGTGTGTGTGTTGTAAAAAGAGCCAAACACTGAAGCCAAAGAATTTGTACTAGAAATATGTTGGGGTTAATCAATTCTTTGTACTTGGCAGTTTCATCCCCTTTTCCTTACAGTATGGTATTAACGATATGCATTTTTCTGTCATGGCACTATGTTCTCATGTTCTGCACTGACGACATAGCCATATCCCATGAACGTGGTGAAGGATAGGGTTGAAAATTATGTTGGATGGTTCTGGGGCCATCTCTGTCCATTCAAGCTGAAGGATAATACATATATATGTACAATGGCATATATCTGTCTTTTGGAAGGGCTATCAGATACATAGATGAATGCTTAACATAATTTGGTAATATATTTATTTTATTTTATTTTATTTATTTTCAGACTTGTATGCCACCCATCTCCCCCAACGGGTGACTCTGGGCAGCTC